CCCCCCACCCCGTGCACGTTCAACGACCCTCCTCTGCAGCCCAACTCACCGCCGGAGACCAGGCGGCGGAACCACGCGATCACGCTACCGGTAGACGTTTGCCCGCCCTCCGCCACACCCAGTCCCGGGAGCACCGCGTCGGGGTAAGCGCCCCACATGCCCGAGCCGTGCAAGTGCCTGCGCCACGGCAGCGCGGCCGTTTGCGACAGGGTGTGTGCGGAAAGGTGGGGTCGGAGGGCACGTGTGTGTGTATGTCGGAGGGTCGTGGTCTTCGAGGTGAAGCAGATGGTGTGTGTTTCAAGCTGCAGAACAGACATGTGTGTGCGTGTGTGTGTTGCGTTGTTACGAAAAATAGCATCGACCACGCTAGCCGGCTGGCCAAAGAAAAAGTGGGCCGGTCTCGGGGCGGCAAGAAAACAAAACTGTGCGGTGTGTTTGTGTGTGTGCTCGTACCAATTCTTCTAGCACCAGTCTACACGCTTTTGGGTGTCGAACTCTGACGTACCACCAGCAGGGGTGACGGAGGAGGAAATGCCACACACATGAGCTTTTCTTACTAGCAGCACAACATGCACGAAAAAATCCACTGCAGAAGGCTGGGGGCCGTATCGTCAAAGTCACGGTTGCGCTGTTATAGCGCCAAAGCACCGACCACGATCAAAACAAGAGTTGGTGCTCCAAGAGGCAAAAACAACCGCCGCCTGCAATCTGGCAATAGCCGCTGCTTTGTACAAAAATCAACGAACCAAAACGCCGCTCGAACGAGTCCTATCCCTTAAAATGACCTTCTTTTTTCCACCTCAAACGTACAAAAAAAATACATTCTGCCCCTCCCGGGCCTACATAAAACAAAATCAACGCCTTCGTTCCGTCCAGGAGAGCCTACCTGTCGTGGGTGAGGCCCAGGTGTAGATGGGACGAGCCCGTGAGCAATGCCATCTCTCCGCTGTTCACCACGCCCAAGCCGACTACCCGCGGCGATGGACCGACCAATCAAATCAATCGACGCCCCCGAAGGGAGAAGCGGCAGGACGATCAGTCATAGTTGTCGGACGAGAAAGACGGGGGCAGGCAGCAAGAGTCTGGTCGATATATTGTGACTGCATGGGCGGTGGTGTTGCATGGGGGTTCTCGTAGGCGATTAGACGTGAGAACACGTGGCTTGCCGCCCGGGCTAAAAAAACAGCGAGCTGGCTTACATCAAGTACCCGGTTGGTGGCCATGCATCCGTAAACAAAATCCCAACAGATAGCAGCAGAAGCAATGAACTTCCCGTGCACCTGCCTCTCCCAGCGACATAGGTCCGAGCTTATCATTCCCTAGCTACATTGTACACTCATCCTTCACCTCAAAATCACCTCACCCATGCCTACAAACGCGTCAGCGCCGCCCTGGGCGACAGGGAGACCTTCCGGCAGCCCCAGGTGCTGCGCCGCTTCAGCGGAGATTCCGCCCACGACACCGCCAAGGGCGATCACTTCCTGCGGCCACTTTCCCTTGGGGGGTTGCAAAGACGATAAAGGGAGGTACACACCCAGGACACGCTGTGACAGGTCTCGGGCGTCATAAACATTTAAGTAGCAATGCACAGCTACAGAATGCCCGAACGTGGAGACCGCTCCTATTGTCGATCCATTGCAACATATGGTATTTCGTACTACAACACGCCGCGAGAGCTGGGTAGAGGAGAAAAATAGCATGTACGAAACCGTAAGACTTCCTGGGTCACCCTGGATCGGGCGGGGCTCTTCAGCCGAGAGAGGCGACATCGCAGGAGAGGTGTGCACCGCGAGCGAAGGCGACACGATATGCGCATCGGCAAGGGGTACAAATATCATAGACAATAGTGCGGAAACCCGCCTCAAGGAGGCTCACGAGGCACCTTGCCCTCCTTGAGCCCCCACCCCCTCCTCCGGTGTTTGCCATCGGGGTTGGGTTTTCGTCGCATGGCAACGACGTTGAAAATGAGCCGACGACTTCGTGAGCTCGGCAACCAGGTTACCGCTTTTTTTGTTACCTTGTTTTTTTTTTTGGCGGTAGCCATAATGGTGGTCGAGTAGATTGTGCTGTGCGGGGTCGAGAACCCTCACTTCGCGCAAAGGAGATATCGAACCATGTTGTGTTAAATCGGTCAAGCACCCTCGAGGCAGTTACACAGTCTATACAAATGTCTCTGGAAGTGAAAGCACCAGAAAATAAGTCATACGCAGCTGTCATCTGTACGCAAGGAAGAAAGCACAAGATGCCGAACACCCTTAGCAGGATAAAGCATGGTTGACATGCGACTCGCCGATTACCTCATGGCGCTTCGCGCTGGGTGATGTGAGAGCCTGGTCCGGGTGAGAACCCGGCGTGCTCCATCCCGGCTTTGCAGGGATGCGAGGTCAGTGGTCTAACGACTACGGCATGCACGACTATGAG